AAAGTAATATAAAAAGAACAAACCACATAAGGATGGGAAATACACAGGATGTCTGGATTCTGTATGGTGCTTTGTTGACTTTGAATTTTTTAAATGATAATGTACAAAAGCAATAGCTGCTGAGAGACATTGGATTATGGAAACTGCTAAATTAAACCACCTTTATACTTTAAGAAAGTCTTAACTTCAAAATGGAAGTCAGAGAATATGATGCATTTCGGGGAGAGGTTATAAGCCTTTGTTTCCACAGGAAAGTTATGGTTCTCTTCAAAATTAGTTAAAATCAGATTTAATCCAGAGGAGAGCTCCTGAGGATCTTGACTGCAAGTGAAAAGAAAAAGCCAAGAAAGCTGACAAGAGAGGTGATGTATAAGCTTGACATGGTAACAATTCTGAGACTGGATGAGACATGACAAATCTTGTTGGCTACACAGTTCTCATAACTTATTATTACATAACATCTTTTCAGATGGCATGGAAAGAGGTTGATTATACAGTGCAAATGGACGTATAAAGTTGACAGATGACTTTACCTGCCAAAACATAGGACAAAAAAAATTCTTCTTTAGGTGACTTATACACATTGCACATTCTGTACTTGTGTTAATATAGATATATATATGCTACCTTCAAAAGTTTATGTGTTTTCAGAAAAAAAAAAGACCAGCTATCAATGGAGACAAGTAGCCCAGGTGATGCAGCCTCTCAGAATGCCTCTGTTACAGTTTCCTCAAAATTCCACATCTAAGACAACTTCAAAGCTCCTAACTGAGATGGTCCAGCCAAACTCAGATGGACCTGAATTTACAAAGTACTTGCAGCCGTGCATAGACTATCCAGCCAAGACTTCACAGAAAAGCTTGTCAGATATTCTAGGCCTGCAGGTTGAATATAGATGCCTTAATGTTACAAAGGAACCTTGAGTGACTGTCTAGGCAGACAAATGTCTGTCATTTTTATAGTTTTAGAAGTCGGTTGCTCGGCATTTCTTGTTTACTCAGGTGATTGGTATATCCTTCTCTGGTCTCTGTTGAGATTGAAGACTAGGTGGTTATAGTTTACAGTTTTCCTTGTTACAAATTCAGAAAAGAACCTCACAAAAGAGGTGTAAAATATACATGGTTGAGAGACATGAAAACTTAGGTTGCTTATCTAGGAGAATGCTTTGAGGTCTAAAAAAATTGTTTTGGGTTGATAATATATGTTAGGATAAAAAGTAATTAGGTACAAAACTTTGGACTCACTAAGATAGGAGAGATAATGTAATATTTTCTTTAAATTTGTCAAAGACAGACTAGACATTGTGAATGTATTTCTTGTTTGGTAATTGTCCTTTTCGTATATAACTTTACTGTGTTAAAGTTGAAACCTTTCCTTTTTATTTAGACAAAAAGGAAGAAATGTGGGATATTTGTACACTGTGTGGAGATATATTACTGTGGTTAGTTTAATAAAGAGCTAAATGGCCAATAGCTAGGCAGGATGTATAGGCAGGACTTCCAGGTAGAGAGAATGGGAGGAGGATATAAATCTAAGCATGCATCACACACCAACAGGACATGGAGGGAGTCAGATATACAGAATGAAAGAAAGGTAAAAAGCCATGTGGCAACATGTAAATTAATATAATTTAAGTTATAAGATCTAGCGGGATAAGCCTAAACTATAGGGCAAGCTCCCATAATAAATACATCTGTATATTATTATTTGGGAGCTGGCTAGTGAGACAGAAAAAGACTCATTATGGACCACAGACTAGGGCTACAGGTGAGTGTAACTATGCCTGTTGCTAAAGCAGATTTGAATATACTTCCTAGGTTGGAATAATCAGATTGCTGCTACCTCTGTACCTGAAGGGAAGTTAGTTAGACTAAGGTAGACAAACGTGCAGAAAGAAGGGGGATATCCTTTCTCCCCGTATATAATAAGCACTCAGTAAGGCTGTCATTCTATTTTTAAGCGGCAGGAAAAGGCAGCTAGTGGACAACCCTCAGTCTCGGGCAAACTTATAACAAGTCCGTCCCAGGCAAACAGGTCTGCGGTATCAGGTCTATTTCACTGTTTATCTGGAACTCACAGACAGATATGGAATAAGACAAATAGGATTTTTTTTTTATTTCATAAGAGGACAAGTTGAAATCCAGTGGAATGTGCTGTGTCATTAGTGGCATGCAGATGAGCGAGCTGTGGAGAGGGCAAGTTCACTGGTTGGCAGGGCCCTGTGTAGCGACTCCGCTGAGCTTCCCACCTCCTCTTCTTGTAATGCTGCTCAATGAGAGGAGATTTAAAACCAAGTTACACGTCTCTCTCAAAGGCTATGTGCTCTGCCCTGAGGCTGGCTTCATTATGAAATCCCAGAAGACACAACATTACTTTTAATAGAGCCACCAAAGGTCTCTGTTAGTGTACATTAGCGTCTGACCTTCACACACTTGGTCAATAAGATGGTTCATAAGAAATCAACTGTTGGCCAGTGTGCTGAGGGAAGAAAGACCGCTGAAAATGTAGTGGGTTCCAGCCTCTTTCTTACGATGGATTCCCTGTCTCTGCTCTTCCCTAGGCAGTCTGGGAACAGCGTGCCATGGGTCCCAGAGATGATCTTATGACCTTGTTTAAATGGTAAAACCTGCGTCTTTGATCAGCACCCTCCTCTCAGCAATCTTGAGAGATGCTGTGTTTCTTTAAAATGTTTTATTATAATATTTAATAAATTAAATTAGCAAGGCTTCTTCGTGGTTTATTATAAACTAACGAAACAAAACTACTTCAAATTCCATTCTTGATGGATAATCCTTCTGTGCATATGTCTTATGAAAATAAAAAGTTTATTGTAATGTATTACCCTTTTGGAGGCTGCTTTTTCCAAACAACAGTACCTAATTCTTTTCCTCCCTCAAGAAATGACTGAACTATGGATTACTTTACATTTTCTAGATCTTACGTAAATTGAATTATACACCATTTATAGTTTAGATATAGCTCATTTTACTCTGCAAAATTATTTGAATTCATCTATGTTATGGTGTACATGAATAGTTCATTCTTTGATTTTGTTTTATCTCTTTTTTCCCATTATATAGATATATAGCACATGATTATATATTCACCTATTGACAGACATTTGGTTCTGGGGAATATAGATATTTAAAACAAGATTATGAAGAATGTTTCTATGTGCTTGTGTGGCATGTTAGTGACTTTTCTCATTGTTGGATCAAAACAGCCAAAAAAAGCAACCAAAGGATTGGTTGCGTGCTGGCTCACAATCCATTGTGTTAGGGAAGGCATGGCAACCGGAGCTTAGAGCATCTGGTCACAGTGTGCCCACAGGCAGGAATGAGAGAGAGATGAACACTGGTGGGTAATCCACTTCATATGTCTTTTTCATTCTGTCTTGAGCCACAGCCCACGGAATGGTGCTGTCCCCATTCCAACGGGGTCTTCCTTCCTCAGTTAAACTTCCCTGGAAAGGCTATGATAGACATGCTCAGAGGTATATCTTCTAAATGCTTCCAAATTTATCACCAAGTTACAGTGAAAATTAACCCCAGCCCCTAGTTGTACATTTCCTATACTTGGTCATGCACTGACTATGGTTCTGGTGTGAAAAGGTGTCTCCCACTCTGTGCAGATTTCAACTCTGGCACTTAATATGACAATGAAGCCAGGCATCAGCTCAGCCTATCATCTCAGCTCTTCAGATGCTGGAGCAGGAGGACCCAGCCTAGGTGAGAACCTGTCTCAAGAAGAAAAGAATATATTGTAAATTATATAATATCATATATATGATTAGAAAGAAAGGGACAGAGAGACAAGGTCATTGAGCAGGTGAAGATGTTCTTCTCTAAGCCCAACAATCTAAATTTCATCTCCCCAACCCACAAGGCAGAAGGAGAGAACTGCAAACTGTCCTCTAACCTCTACAAGCTTGCTAAATAGCATATGGGTATAATAAATAAATACTTTAAAAGAATGCATGGGTGAATGAGCTGTAATATGAATTTAACTCATGCAAGGTTCCTTTGCGTTCTTAGTAGATCTTGATTGGTTTACGAGATGACTGTTTGCACTAAGAGGCTTACCACTATCAAAGACAATCTTTGAGGGAAAAAAAAAAAAGAAAGAAAATCTTTGACCTAAGCTGGGGCAGTGCTTCTATGACTTAAGGAGCATAAACATCATCTGGACATCCCAATAAATACACATCTGGTGGGGGGGGACGCTGGGATTCTACATTCTCCACAAGCTTAATCCAGGTCCTCAAACTCAAACTTGACAGAGAGCACTTCCATGGACAGAAGAACATTTAGGGAGTTCAGGGAAATCAACATTGGGCCAAAAGGAATGGTGATCTCACCAGGTCTTAGCAATGGAAGGGATGCAAAAATGCATTTGGTCCAATTATCCAATTGGTGCTTTCTGTCCTGTTCCTGGTCGGTCATACTGGCCCTTGAGTTAAGTGTTCTTCACTGAGTGTTGCTAATAGTCAATGGGAGAAGAGAAATTTTGAAGTGATGCCTAAACCAGAGGAGCAATCCAAGAGCAACACTTAAGAGACTATGGGTCTCACACCCAAATGAGTAAGACACGTGCAGGATCCTTTTCAGGCCTTTGGATGTTTATCCAAAAGCTTTCATAATCAATGTGCTGTAGCAGAGAGTAAGATGAGTGTGCACGTGCGGATCCCCCCAAGCCTTTGCTTCCCACTGTGACATAAAGATTCAGCTCTGATTGACAGGTGAGACCTGATGGCAGATGGCAACAGCTGTGTGCCTCCTTGGCTGCACAGATAGCCCATGCCAGGGCCCTAGGACCAGATATTTTCAGTGAACAGGAATCACTAGGATGTGCTATAGTTATTTCCTTCCATCTCAACTGTTGAAGATTGAACCAAAAGACACGTGTTTTGCTTGGTTCTCTGATTGAAGGGCGGCTGACGTCTCTTCTCCCACTCATCCTCGTCCTCCAGCTGTTGCACAGTTCTCTGCTTTCTGTTTCAGGTGCCAGGAGAGAGTGAGAAACAGTGGAAACCGGCCCTCGTTGTTCTGACCGAGAAAGATCTTTTAATCTACGACAGCATGCCGCGAAGGAAGGAAGCCTGGTTCAACCCGGTGCATTCATATCCACTTCTTGCTACCAGGTAGCCTTGACCATGGGTTTGGGTGATGTGTTGCGAGTTTGATAGTGTCTTAATCAATTAGAATCTAATTGGAGAAATGCAAAACACATTCTAGTGTTGCCTAATGGTATGGCCAGGGCTGGAAGTGCCTTAAGAATATTGGTACCTATTTAGCCAGGTAAGTTACTGTTATTAAACAAAGCAGTGTAGAGACAGTAGACTACCGTCTGTCCTTAAGGCACCAAATTATTTGTGTGACATCCCAGACTGAAATTTTTCCTGAATACCCATCCTATCCCCTAGGAAATAAACTAGATGTATGTCTTTCCAGTCCTGGGGTCCAAATGTACTCATCAAGCAAGAGTCTTTACTTGACAACACAGCAAAGAGCCCGTGCCAATGCCCGTTTTATTTGTTCGAGTTTCCCTCAAGTAAGTTCCTCGTGGTGTGTGTAATGTTGCCGTGGAAGTAGCACGAGCTCATCCTGTTCTGCGGCATCTTTGCTGTATACTAGCTACCCACATGCTTTACAGCTTTTCTTAGCGTTACTTACCAGTCTGTGATTGACACACAAGAAGCTGTGTATGTAAGGTATGCAACTGGGGGAATGCAGAGGGATACTCACATTCTTAAAACCATCATTGCAATCGGTACCATAGTGCATATTTACCACCTTGAAAGAACCCCCTGACCTCTTTATTTTGCATGAGGGAAACTTTGTGCTCTTTGGCCAATACCTACCAGTTTCTTCCTCTCTTTAGTTCTTGGTAATAATCATGAAATTCTACGAATTTGACATTTTAGAGTCTCCACGTAAGTTGAATCATAGAGTATCTGTCCCTATTCTGACTTTTTCTACTTAGCTGAATTTTCTTTTTTTAAAGAAGAGTTAACATTCAGTTATGTGTATATACACACACATGCAAACACACGCACACACACCCCATATCACATCACATCACTGTAGCATGAATAATAAAAACCCAGAGACAGACATTGGAGTTCAACCTGATAATCAGAAAAGCAAAAGCAGCCAAACCGGCTACTAGAGAGCTCTTACCTCTTTGAAATCTTCAGACTGAAAGAGTACAAGTTCCTGTCTCATCCCGCCTTATATTCCTCTCTAGTGCTGGATTAGAGGCATGCACCAACACCGCCGGGCCTCTGTGGCTAACGAGTGTGGCGGCTGAAATTAAAGGTGTGTGCCAACACTGCCTGGCCTATATGGCTGACTAGGGTGACTGCTTTGTACTGACCTTCAGGCAAGCTTTATTTATTAAGATACAAATGAAATATCACTACACATTACATTACATTTTCCTTATAGAGGAGCATTTGGAGACCTTATATTTGTTGAATTCAAGTACATAATTAAGCTAGTGGTACCCGAAAGCAAATGATATTGACACAATAGCATGCATACTTATGGAAGACAATGGAAAAATAGATCCACCCATTTGATCTTTGGCAAGGATACCAATAAGAGAAGACATACGGGGAAAGAAAGATCACTTTAATAAATATTTCTGGGAAAAAATGGATATCCATATGCAAAAGATTGAAATTGGTCCCTTATCTCAAACCACATAGAAAAATCAACTCAAAATAGATTAGGAGCATATTTAAAAGTAAAATCTAAAATCAAGAAACCCCTAGAAGAAAACCTTTTTGACATGGACTTAGCTATAGTTTTTGGATATGACACAAAAAGCACAAACAACAAAAAGCAAAAATAGATAAACAGGATTATAATAAACTAAAGAGCTTCCGAATGGCAAAGGAAACGACAAAATCAAAAGGCAGCCTACAGGATGTGGGGAAAAATTTGAAAACTACATATCTGACAAAAGGGTGATAGTCAGAATTTAGAACATACAAGGAGGTCCTACATCTCAACAACATCACACACACACACACACACACACACACACACACAACCCTTGATTAGAAAATGGGCTATAGACCCAAAGAGACATTTCTCAGAAGATACACAAATAAACAACATGTTTGTATAAAAACAGCTCAACATCACTAATCCTTGGAGAAATGCAAATCACAGATACGCATTCCCTCACATCTTTTAGATGGCTATTATTAAAAAGCATGAAAATCTTAAAAATGTTATTTTTAATGTGGGGCATAAGGAGCCTTTGCTTATTATTTCTGGGCTTGCAGAGTGAGGCAGTCACTATGAAAAAGTGTGGAGAATTCCCTAGAAGTTAAAGCTACCATTGGACAGCTCTCATCTTTGGGGGTTCTCAATGCTGGCTGCATAAGCAGGCACAGCAGCTCCAAGGTCAGGGCCATTGCCAAGGCAACAGGCAGATTATAGATGCTGCTTAAAGTCAGCATCCTCAGAGAGAGAGGTGGAGGCTCCGAAACTGAGTGTGGCTATGAGAAGCTTCCAGGGCAGGGATTCTGAGATGTGGTGCACGTTCACAGGTGATGCGGATGCCAGGCCTGGATTGTGAGCAAACCACACAAAGAAATCTAAAGCCATAAACCTTTATCTGGTGTGAGAATGGAAATAGAAAAATCCTTCACGTATATAAATGTAATTGGTGAGAATAGACACAATATTAAAATATTGGCCTCTACCACTAACCTTAAAGAAGAGCCAGTGGTAGGACGGGCTTCCTCAGCTCACCGACATCCTCCCAGCTAACACAGGCTAACCACTGAGGTGCAAAATGGAATTCTTTCTATATGGATACAAGGCCCACCCAGATGTGGGGATAAAGTCAGGGTATCACTCTGAACTCCATCTGGCAGTTGGGAAGTTCCGAATGCTAAGGTGATTCAGCCATTCATTCTCACTTCACAATCCTCCAGCCAGCAGGCAGCTCACTCCATGCTCCTGAGTGGTAATCTGGAAATGTAAGAGCCAAGAATTTCCATCTTAGGCTCTCTCCTTCCAGAACAGTGCCTTTCTCCAGGCTAACCAACCCTCCTGTCTCGCAAAGCCCTCATTTGGTAAATGCACTCGGTGGGTTGTCTTTTCTCTAAAGCCCATGGGGCAATGTGCTTTGGAGAAATCGGTTTTTAATAGGCTTTCGCCTTGGCTACCAGCCACTGTAGGTCATTTACTCTGTTCAGCTTCTCTCTGGAAACTCCATGTGAAGACTTTCATAAACCAGACAATGAAAACAAAGGCCATTCCCCTCCCAGTTGACTCGGGAGATGGTGTCTCTATGCAAATCCATGCAGGAGTTTCAAATGAACCATGGAAGTCAGGGTTCCCTCCAGCTGTAACTGGGGCTGTTCTCTGATTGCACACAAAACAGACTCTTAGAGGTAAAGGGGGACTCGGAGGTCAGGGGGGAATTGGGCTGAGGCTTTCAAGTTCTCAGCAGAATCATTTCTGGGAGTGGTGAGGAAATGGGTCCTTCCTTGTAGACACTACCCCAGCTTGAAAATGCAGACTGCTTGGCTAACTTCTTATCCATCAAGTAGATCTTCACTTACCTCCTGCATCAGATGCTTCTTTCTTCTTGTGACCAAATATCAGATAAGAATGATTTATTCTAGCTTACAGTTTGAGATCATACAGTCCATCTTGCGGGTAGGAATGATAACGGGAACATGTGACAACTGGTCACAACGTATCCTTAATTAGGAACTGTCATGACAACTTAATCCTGCACTTCCTGTCACTCAATCTCATCTCCTAAGGAGAGAAAGCAGTGCCGTGGGCCCCAGCGCGAAGGGGACATGTAATTGTGGGTGTTATTAAGCCAGTTTCTGTTGGTGTTTGCAATCTTTCTCAGTGCTCTGGGAATTGTTGTGTATCCTCTCATCACACCGGCACTCCTTCCAGGCCACAGATTCTAGAAGGACAAATGCCAGCTTTGTCCTTCTAAGCAAATGCCTTCTCTTTTTGCCTTACTTCTCTCTGATCTCACTTCCTTGTCTGACAAAAAGAAAGGTGGCTAATAATGTCTAGCACAGTAGGAAAGTTGCAGTATAGTTAATATAGTAGTCAGTCAATACAACACACAAGTTGGGGGTTTGTTATGGGAAATATATTTTGGATTTTTGTAACATTTGTGTATTGATAATGTGATATGGGGGGGTAGCCCTAACACAGACAGGTTATATGTATATCTTACGCACAAAGCCTCAACGGAAATCGATAGATAGATAGATAGATAGATAGATAGATAGATAGATAGATAGATGATAGATAGATGAGAAAGGGAGAGAGAGAGAGAGAGAGAGAGAGAGAGGCAGATAGATATGAAAACTTGATTGCTTTTAATAGTAGTAATACGAGAAGGGTCCACAGCATGTTCTTGATGTCTATCGCCATGCAGAGAAGTTTACAATCAGCCATCTCTCCTACTGACAAGCTTCTGTGGCTTCTCTGGTCTTGGGGAATTTACAAGGTGCCTCTAATTTACAACAACACACTCAGGACTTTTGCGATCATGCTGTAATTTTAGTTATTCTTGCCTCTCTACTTTTTATGAGTCCCTGAGAAAGTATATTTTGCTTAGCTAAAGTTTGTTTGAGATTGCTGAATATCTTTTAAAGGTCCACTAATCCATAGGCACTAGAAGGATTTTTATGATTGTTGTTGTTGTAATTGGTAAATCACGTGAGTCTGCAGAGAGCGAGGATTAAGGTCACAGGTTTTCTGGCGTTCTAGAGAAGATTTATTTTTATTTTATTTTATTTTATTTTGGTTTTTCGAGACAGGGTTTCTCTGTGGCTTTGGAGCCTGTCCTGGAACTAGCTCTGTAGACCAGGCTGGTCTCGAACTCACAGAGATCCGCCTGCCTCTGCCTCCCGAGTGCTGGGATTAAAGGCGTGCGCCACCATCGCCCGGCTCTAGGGAAGATTTAATGAAGACATTTTGCTCACCCAGTCCCAGTGGCTGATGGAAGTTTGGAAGCACAAAGCTTGCAAAGAGAGTGATGCCGCTATGAGCTCTGCTTGCTGCCCTGTGGGCCTGACGGAAGGGTGTAGGGCAGGCAGAGGAGGAAATGATGAGCTCACACTTCTGCTTTCATACCACCGGG